TTTTAGCAGAGATGGGGTCTCAGTCTCGCTCAGGCTGGTCTCAAACTCTTGAGCTCAAGTAAGCCACCCACCTCGGCCTCCCAGAGTGCTAGGATTACAGGCATGAGCCACCGCGCCGGGCCTTCATCTGAGATTCTTAACATGGATTACAGTATTCCAATATTCCCCTGCTAACCTTCCTTCCTGTGGCCCTTCCCCTATACCTTACCCTTCAGGCCTCACTGGCAGTGGCAGTGTCTCAATTCCTCAAACAGACCGTGGAAACACTTAGTACAAAGCTTGACGTGCAGTAGGCATTCAGGAAATGTAAGCTATCATTATTACCATTTAGTTCTTTCCTACCTCTAGGCCTTCACAGATGCTGTTTCCTATTTAGAAGGCTCTTCCCTTTACTCTTCCAACTAACTCCTACCTCTCCTTTAAGTCTGCGTTGTTTTTTTTTTTTTATTGCTGGGTAACAAATTATCATAAACTTGGTGGATGGCAGTTTCTAAGGGCCAAGAGTCTGGCATGTTTTAGCTGGGCTCTTCACTCAGAGCTCCTTTGCATGGCTTGCCCAATTAGGTCACGACCACCCAGCATAATCTCCCTTTTGATTAACTCAAAGTCTACTGATTAAAGATTTTAATTACAACTGTAAAATCCTTTCACCTTCCTAGAAGCCCTAATTGCAGGTATGAAATCCACCCTATGCACAGTCCCACCCACACTCAGGTAAAAGGCAAAGAGAGCCTGGACACCAGATACTGGGTGGCTCGGGACCATCTTAGAATTCTGCCTGCCACAGTGTCTCAGCCTCAAAGAAATGTCTTCAAAGAGACTGACCCCAAATCTAAAATAGGTCCTTTGCAAGTAAGATTAAAATCTCAGAAAAATAAAATAAGGCTCGGCGCCTATAGTTCAGCGGCTAGAGCGCCAGCCACATACACCGGAGCTTGCGGGTTCAAACCCAGCCCCGGAGCTGCCAAACAACAATGACAACTGCAACCAAAAAATAGCCAGACGTTGTGGCAGGCGCCTGTAGTCCCAGCTACTTGGGAGGCTGAGGCAAGAGAATCACTTAAGCCCAAGAGTTTGAGGTTGCTGTGAGCTGTGATGCCACAGCACTCTACCAAGGGTGACATAGTAAGACTCTGTCTCAAAAAAAAAAAAAAAAAGAAAAGAAAAGAAAAGAAAAGAAATAGGTCCCGTTTTACATTTGTTCACATTACCCTGTAGGCTTCTTCCATGGCACTTATCACAGATTGTAATTATATACTTATTTATTTGTTTCTCTCTTCTTCGCCCCGTGAGCTCCATGAGAGCAGGGACTTTGTAGTGCTCATCACTGTGTCCCCTGTGCCCAGCACAGTGCTTGGCAATAATGGATCACTGAATAAATGAATGAAAAAATGAGCAAGACAGAAATCAACCTACACAGGCATTAAATGGACAGAGAAGAGAAGGAAAAAGGGATGCAGCATTGACTGAGCCACGTCCTGTGCTAAGCACATTCCTTTTTTTTTTTGGAAACAGAGTCTCACTTTGTTACTTTGTTGCCCTCAATAGAGTGCTGTTGCATCACAGCTCACAGCAACCTCCAACTCTTAGGCTTAAGCAATTCTCTTGCCTCAGCCTCCCAAGTAGCTGGGACTACAGGTGCCCTCCACAACGCCCGGTTATTTTTTTGTTGTAGTTGTCATTGTTATTTAGCTGGCCTGGGCAGGGTTCAAACCCACCTGCCTTGGTGTATATGGCTGGTGCCCTAACCACTGTGCTACGGGCGCCGAGCCAACATTTCTCATCTCATTTAATCCTCACAACTATCTCTAGGACTATTCATAACCCCATTTTATGGGGAATGCAGTGGAGGGGACTTCGAAGGCTTAGAGACTTTGTCCCAAAGTCACATAGCAGGTAACTGAAAGAGCCAGAAATCAAACCCAGGACTGTTTCCAGAATCCCTCTAGAGCCTAAGGACTTGGCTGGAGAATTGAGTCTTCCACCACTTAGTGAGCATATGAACTGGCACAGGTCACTTTGGGGCTGAGTCTCAGTTTCTTTGTGAGACTAGGGTGGTCATACCTACTGGAGAGTGGTAGGTAGAAGTAAGATCATGTGTAGTGAAGTTCCTTGAACATCACAGATGGTCAGGAAATGTAGCCAGTGAGCTCCACACGCCAAAAAGCCACCCCTTTCTGAAATGAAAGTCCTGTTTGGTTTGGTTTAGGAGGATCGTGGGAGTACCAGGGAAGGGCCCCAGAGAGAGGAGCTTGTGGGGATGTGAGGTTCTCAGATAGAATTGCTTAATGTGATCCCTGCAAATGGAAATCTGGATGTTCAGAGACAAGATGGAAGCCAGTCTGGAGGGGACCAGTGCTGACTAGGACTATCCCTTTTACTGGCCACACACACAACCACACAGCCCAGGGAATTCCTGGGGCAGGTAGAGTCAGGTCCTTCAATAGTCGATGGAGTCCCTGGCAGAGAAGGGATGAGCTCTGTGTCCTGGGCTCAAGCAGCTTGAGCCTCCCGTGTTTTCCCTCTGCCTCTGTTTGTCTGGGACACTGATCATCACAGAAGAGATTCACTTGGAAGGGGGCACAGCCAGGAGAAGGAGAGCTGGAAAGCTGGGCCATCTTCATTATTCAGGGATGCACACTTCCCCATCCCACCATGGCAACTTATGTTTCCACCATGGGGATCTCTGCATAGGTCTCCCTTTCACCCTCTCCTATTCCTCTTTTAAAAAGGGATTCTACCTTGGGCAGCACCTGTGGCTCAGTGAGGACGCCAGCCCCATATACTGAGGGTAGTGGGCTCAAACCCAGCCCAGCCAGCTAAAACAGCAGTGACAACTGCAACAAAAAATAGCCAGATGTTGTGGTGGGCGCCTGTAGTCCCAGCTACTTGGGAAGCTAAAGCAAGAGAATCGCCTAAGCCAGGAGTTGGAGGTTGCTGTGAGCTGTGATGACACTTTACTCTATTGAGGGCAACAAAGTGAGACTCTGTCTCAAAAGAAAAAAAAAAAAAAGGATTCTGCCACCTACCTTTAGCCTGCAGAGTCAGCATCAGTAGAATATTCATCAGATCTTCCCCCTCCGTGACTTGGAAGAACCCAAAACCCTGGGGTGGGGATAAGTCAGAGAGGCTGTTGAACTGGGAGACCTGTGCTCAGACCAGTCATGCTGCTCTTGAGCTGACAAACTTGTGGGATATCAGAGCTGGAAGGGACTTGGGGGTTTACTTCCACAACTCTCATTAATGCCCATGAGAAAACAAAGAGCCCAAAAATGGAGACAGCGAAACCCAAGTCATCTGTCCCCCTTTGCTGACTCTGTGCTCCACGTGTTTCCCTCCCTAAGAGGTAGAAAAGACTAAAGTTACATGGGAGCAGGACAGTGAAGCCATTTCCCTCTGGGCCTCTGGTTCTTCTTCTGTTAGATAGGAATAATTATACTTCCCTGTCAATATACCCACTTTTCGTGAAACCTGAGTAAGTGACTAGAGGGAAAATGACAGCAACAGCAGAACTGTCTACTGGTGCAGCAGGACCCCAGAGTGGAGGAGGTGAGGGTGCGGCCGTGCAGATGGGCTCCAAAGACATGGGTTCACCTTGTCATCCTCCCCAGGTGGGGCCCGGCCTAAGTTGCCATGGATACTGTGTCCCTGGAGCATCAGATTCAGAGCGTGCAACGCCACATCAGCTTCCTGAAAAAGGAGCAGATGGCCCTGCTGCGGGACCTGCACCTGGAAATCCTGAGGCTGCAGAAACGCTGCTCAGGTGAGGCCAGGAGGGATGGCAGGGTGGGTTGGGAGGGTCACTGTTATCATCACGGTCACTGTCTCTGATGAGGTGCTCACTGTGAGCCGCTGTGTACCTCGCACCAATCCCGTCTCCTCTTTTTCTAGATGAGGAAACTGAGACTTGGGGAGATGAGACAAGAGTTTTGGGACAAGAGGGCTCTGGTTAGGTAGTGGGGGGAAGCCAGTTCTTAAGGATTTCTGTCCTCAAGTCACTGTTCCCAGAGCACCTCCCAGCCCTCAAGAAGCCCTCAGTCTAGGAAAACACATTACCAACAGGTAATACTAAGATACAGTAGAAAATAAAGGGGAAGTTAAGGGCAGGATCATGTCCGGCTTGAGGAGCAGGTGATGAAAGAGGAGACCAGTGGAAGACTGAGTACCATGCAGACACTCATGGGGGGACGGTAGGGGAAAGACATAAAGACAGTATCCCAAGTGCAGAGAACAGCAAAAGGCCAGGAGGTGAGAAACCAAAAGCTTGTGCAAAGTTCTACACTACTGGCTAAAGCTGTGCTTAAGGGAGACTGGTGAGAGCCTCAGCTGGAGCCAGAGTGTAGAAGACCTTGGCAAATACCAGGATAGCCAAGAAGTTTGGCCTGTCCCCCTGGGTAATGGGGAGCCACTGAAGGTTTATTTTTGTTTTGTTTTGTTTTGTTTTTTGAGACAGAGCCTTACGCTGTCACCCTGGGTAGAGTGCTGTGGCATCACAGCTCACAGCAACCTCCAACTCCTGGGCTCAAGTGATTCTCTTGCCTCCGCCTCCCAAGTAGCTGGAACTACAGGCTCCTGCCACAGTGCCTGGCTATTTTTTGGTTGCAGCTGTCATTTTTGTTTGGCGGGCCCAGGCTGGATTCAAACCTATAAGCTCAGGTGTAGGTAGCTGGTGCCTTAGCCACTTGAGCCACAGGCGCCAAGCCATCACTGAAGGTTTTTGAGCGGCAGAGAGCTGCCCAATCAGTGTGATACCGCATTAAGGAACAGTATTGTCCGGTCACAGTGGCTTACATCAGTAGTCCCAGCTGGTGGGAGGCCAAGGCTGGTGGATTCCTGAGCTCACGAATTCAAGACCAGCCTGAGCAAGATTGAGACCCATGTCTCTAAAAACATAGCCAGGTATTGTGGCAGCTGCCTGTAGTCCCAGCTACTTGGAAGGCTGAGGCAAGAGGATCATTTGGGCCGAAGAGTTTGAGGTTGCTATGAGCTATGACGCTGCAGCTCTCTACTGGGGGCAAGAAAGTGAGAGTCTCCAAAAAAGAAAAAAAGAAACTCAGTCTGGCAGTTGTATGAAGCTGAATTGGTGGGAAAGAGAGGCAGGGAGCCTAGTGGCAGAGCTGTTGAATGGTCCAGGGGAGAGATGAAGAGGGATGGAAAGGGGAGGACCACAAGGACACAGTCTGAAGGAAAGTACCTACTGGCCACTGATGGAATTTGTGAGCAGAGCAGAGGGAGGCATCAAGAATGAAG